GCTCCACTCAACAATACTCTCTCTCTGTTCGCAGTTCAATTACACATAACATTGTTGCCAGGAAGGGACAGGATCCTTCTAGAAGTTCATGACGTGTTACTAGTTCACGTTACTTCCGCTGTCGTAACAGTATCAAACTTGTAATGTACTTGTTTATAGGTACAGAATATTTCCAATGTTAACTTATACATAACTGTATTTTTCACATTTTAAGCATAGACAAAATAAGGATATAAAGTTAAAACAACACTCAGTAAATGTCAGACAATGGTGAAGCATTCAAATATAGGTGTTTATGTTGGTGTATCTTAATGTTTCAAGATCTTTACCATATTGTTACGACAGCGGAAGTCACGTGACGCTTGTAACACGTCATAAACTTCTAGAAGGATCCTGAATGCTCGGGTATTCTTTTATATATAAGACGGTCAAGACGTGACGACAACAATGTAATGAGTAATTTAACTGCGGACAGAGAGAGAGAGTACTGTTGAGTCACAGCACGTGAGACGTTCATTGTGAATTATAGCGTTTGTTATAGCTTGACTGTGGAAATTAAGTATATTGCAAAGTTGTATTTAGAAAGAATAAACCAGTTTTATTTAAGAAAGGACTTGTACCGCTAAATTCTTCAGAAAGAAATTATACGGAAAATTAACTAATGAACGGAGGCATGACAAATTGGTGTCAGAGAGTGGGACAAAAAAAAGGGAAACGAGAAGCGGCAAATCAAACTACAGCTTAGCAGATTTTATGGCAGCAATACAAGAACAGCAAAAGAAACAAGAAGAACGAAAAGAGAAACAAGACGAGAAATTACAGCAGTTCTTGGAGGAAAAAGAAAAGAAACAAGAAGAACAAGAAGATAAATTACAGCATTGGTTGGGGGAAAAAGAAAAGAAACAAGAAGAGAGAATACAGTATTTGCAAGAAAACCTGCAACAGTGGCAGCTGGAACAGCAAAATAAACAAGAGAGATTACAGCAGTTGTTGGAGGAAAAAGAAAAGAAACAAGAAGTACGAGAAAACTAGTTGCCACTGCTGTAATCTCTCTTCTTGTTTCAAACAAGAAAGGAAAACAGGAAGAAAGTCAGCAGCAACTACAGGAAAGTCAACAACAGTGGCAATAAGTAAAAACAGATAACATTAGTAAATTTAAAAGCGAATTAGATACATTAAAGGATGATTTATTGTCTTTTACACAAGGAGGATACATTAACCATTGACTTACTCCAGACAATGGCAAGCCCCTTCAAGACCCTGCAGCTAAACCCTAATGCAGACATATTCAGTCCTGTTAGATGTCATATCCCAGATAT